GGGTGGTGTGGATAGACAGTTTATAACGCTTGATCAGAACAATCATTGTCTTATCCCACCAATCTGACCAGCCACATGTGTGAAACATGCAACAAAAAACACTTTAACCGAAGTTGCCACTAGAACAATGACCCTGAGCGGAAACACGGAGTGAACTGAATTTCATTGTATTTGTCCACGATCGGGTGATCAAAACACAAACACACACACAGGCTCACTGGGTATTGTTTACATGAAAAAAGATGTACAAGTAGCTGTGTTGTGGTCCTCGTCGTTGCTGATACTCATCTTTACAAGCAACGCATTTTATTGTTGATTCTCGGGGCGATTATTTGGTTAAAACAGATTAGTCAGTCATCGTTGTCGTCCTTCAAACTCCCGAATACGGCAGAGGGGACCGGTTGCTTTTCCAGATCCAGGTCTGAATTAGGAAAAAGACAGGAGAAATCGCGATCAATTCGATACTTATTGTGTATGTATGAATGAGACAAATTAGGCTGAAAGCCACGAATAAACGAAGACACTCATCTCCACACACGTGGACGTCCACGGAGATCACTTCAAATCAGACAGTGAGGAGATGATAGAATAAGCACAAACTGGTCACAATTCACGAATCATTCGAAGCCTGATTTCGTAGGCAACAATCAACAGCACACGGGTGGGCTACGAACCGCTAAGGAGGCAACACAATCGGCATATATGCCAATAATGAAGAGAACCACCACTACCACAACACCATCGGTGACCTAAACGTTGACTTATTTTGGACTTGCTTTTCTAGTTGATCTTGAAGCGCACCAATCAGATAACTCTTACATCATACTACCTTTAATGTGAACAGACAGTTACCGGAAGTAGAGACTTTATTTGAATTTTCACTGGCGAGGTTACCCGGATTATTAATGGAACGTGAGGAAATCAAGCGGCAAGCCCAGATGATAAACTATGACTAACATGTACAATTCCACTCGCATAGATTTATCACCACAAACAAACAAAGATACATAATCGGATGACGGTCGAGTTCGCTGTACTTCGCTGTGTACTTCTGATTAACTGAGGGTTTACTATGAACTAATTTACCCATTCCTAACCAGTAGCCGGGATTCGATGATGGTGCTGAATTTCGCCACTCTTGCACAATTTTGTCTAAGGCCAAATATTCTAAAAACAGGCCTAATCAGTCTCCAGGGTGTTGTAGTTGAGTGGGCAACTTTGATAAAGCTGTGATTTGACTTTCCGAATGTATAGATATGTACTGAAGACAACCTTGATTTTTATGTTATCTCTATTTTCACTCTGACACTGATTTGAATATTTCAATTTTCACTTTACGCCTTCACATCCGAATGCGCAAACAGGAGACAGTAACCAAAACCGGCGCAACAAAGTGCATGATTATTAATTGTAAACAGCGAACTGGAATTGAAATACACTGGATAGATTCACAAGCGCTATGGCACCTTTCGGCATGTGTTTAGTACCGTCCACGAGCAAGGCCATGCTGTAAGACTGGGTGTCCATGCTTCTGGTTTCGAAACGCGGTGGTCAAGAAATGACCTTAGAGAATCACTACTCCTCCCTGGGCGCTTGTGTGATAGCAGACTAGCTAACGGGATCATCACACATGTATCCCCCGCTCGAGCAGTATGCGCTGGATTGTGTTGAAACTGAAACGCATCGTTTATATTGCGATGCAGTGGTGCACAATCAGTTCTGCTTCAAGTTTGTGAGACTTGAGTGCAGCGAGCGAAGGAAAATACGCCGAGTTCGGGTGATGATGATGTGTAGACGATAGAAACGACTGAATGAAGCGGTTAGGCGAGGTCAAGTCAAGTCAAATGAAGTCAAGAGATGAGTCTCTTATAAGGGAGGTCGAGGGCTGCAACCGGTTGATTGAATACAGTAAAGTTCGTGGCAGCGAACAGAGAGTAGTGGCATTCTAGTTGAACGTCACCGGTGTACCTGCTTCGCATACATTACGAATCTGGTAATGATCAAGGAAGTTTGCTTCACTGTAAAATGATTAACACACACATCGTGTGAACTGAATTGGGGTCATAGTGAGACAGAAATACTAAAGCTTGATTCAGTTGTTCGCCAAATATTAGCGCAGAATTTACACTCATCTGGACTAGCCTCGCATGTGAAGGGAAGACTATTGGTGGAAGAAGTTCATTGGCCATGATAATGCGGTCGTCACATCAAATGGTTAAAAACTGAGCACAATGAAACACGCACGGCCTAAAAGTTATGTAACCGACCGACTTACCCATGTCGGTCTCGTCATCATCCCGCCGGAACCGCGGGCCGCCGCGACTGCTCCCTGCATCATCATCATCATCCTCGTCCTCTCCAGCCAGATCATCAATATTGATCGCTTCCTTGTTTTTAGTTGTCGACCGGGTCTGATCTTGTTTCAATTGACTATCCAGACCGAGTTGTCTGATTCCAGCCGACTGGAACACGACCATAGGACGACCAGCCAAAGTGGGTTTACCGGATTCACTCGAATCTTGGACTTGTTCCAATTTTTGCATTTCATTGGTCGCTATGTGATCATTTTCAATTGACGAGAGGTAGATAATAGCAGTGAGGAAGAAAGGGAGGAGGGTAGAGTAAATAAATCAATGGACCGGACACAAACGATAAAATTCATTTAGTCTTGAACTGACTCTCCATAAACAATAACAACACATTACGCATCGGGTAGCCATCATCAGAGACACCGAAGAAAATCAACTCACTAAGTAAGAGCTGGTCGAATAAGACTAATTCGCATTTAATCACACTGGTCGGTATTCGGCGTACTAGTAAGGTTGTGGCCAGATCGTGTTTTACAGCTATTAGAAACTAAAGAAGAGCATACCCTCTGCACCCGGAGGGGGAGGGCCTTCATTTAAACTAAAAACAGTTGAGCCAATTCAATTATTATTATATCATATTTCACACTTGTCTGAGGTCAGACTGTGTGCCAGGCAAATCATGGTACAATAATCTTTATGAAAAAGAAAAACAAAGGTCCATGATTTGCTTATGGGTTGAATACTGCCAGGTTGCTCAGGCCAAGACAGGTGAATGTTTTTTAGGAATTCAATGCTATCCCTCAATCTCGTTGTGATCCTAGGAACGTGTTTGCATCAGTATAAAGAAACCACGAGACGCTGATAAGATAATGCAATTCTTCACACATGTGTCCTGCCTATGGAATTCGCATATTTTGCTGAAAATGCTTGAAGTTTAATTATTTAGTCCAATACGGTGTATTTTTTGCGAAGACGCACATCAAGCACTTTTGACGGTAGAAAACTGAGGATAAGGACCGATTCAAAGGTAAAATGATGGAAACATGAACGTGCGTCAAGATCTGAGTGTGTGTGTGTGTGTGCGCGATGGTGTGCTCGGTTTGGATATACGTAAAAAAAAACATGCTCAACCGAGATCCGAGAAAGAGTGCTGTGCATGCAAATGCAATTCACAATGCACTTTGATAAACTGGGGACAGAAGAGTATGCAATTCTGCTAGACCAGTCCATCATCTAAATCGTGAAAGTTGGACTGACAAGCCCACATGAATAGTTGTGGTTTCGCGTCGATAGTCAGTAAGTGGATCCGGCATGATCAGTGGATTCGGCCATAGGACCGTTACACAGATGTGCACCAACAATAATGGAGGATAGATAATAATACAACAGATGAGCAGCGGATAGAGATGGGAGGGGGTCACTTACGGACAGTGGCCGATTCCGTCGAACTCGTTTGCAACTGATTGGCAATAAAGCTAACTCGCGTATTGTAGGTGGCTTGCACGCTACGCCGAATCCGGAGCATCTCACGTAACGTATCCTCGTTCCCATGGGCAACCTCGAACTCTTTCCACGTTTGCCAGAATTCCGGTTCCGTCTAGGAGGCACGGGAAAAAGAATATCGGTGCAGAGACATGATGAAAAAGTATATAACAATTTACCTGAATGTATCATTGAGAAACCGAGCAAATATCAGTTTTAATTCAGAAAACAATGGGAGCAACTAGGACGTCAATGGTGACGTGTAGGAAACTTACTTCCCGCGTCGCCTATTGATTTTCGACAATTGATGCGTACGTAGTCCGGCCCGGGTGGGATCAGTGAGCGGGTTAGTCACCTAGAAGTAATTCGGTAGGTGTCTCTGGATGCATCGAACACGAACTTGCCATTACATCGAATTCATCAACTCAATAGGTTCTGTTGGATGGAACACGTTTTGCGTACGTCCGACGGTCGCTTACCGCACCGCGTTTTATTTGTAGTGACCACTACAGACTAGAGAAAGTCACGTGGAGGCCACCAGAGGAGNCGAGTGATTAGGCGGAACAAGTGTCTCCATCTTCCGGGTTGGAGTTCAAAAGACTCCGTAAATGGATTGTTGGAGACACTGAACATCATGACAGCAAACCGACAGCAGTGGCGTTCATGCTGTCATTTCTTTTGAAACCGAAATGCTTGAACTAGTTTGAATGCACAGCTGGGCAATGTATTCTGTCTGTGTGTTCATCTTAGAGGTTCGCTTTCTTTCACCGTCCCTCGAAATAGGCCCAATCCCTATCCATCTCAGACATTCTCACTTACTTCAAGTGAGTAATGGAGGATTTGGTTCAATTTTAAAGATGAATTCGTCGTGTATATGGCGAATGGGGCGTGAACTAAAAGCTAGGAAGCACGGGACAGCTGTTTCGACCTGGTTGGGTCTTGTCCCACTGGGAATCGAACCCGGGACCTCAGAGGCAGAACGCAAGCGTACTACCCACTCGACCACCAGGTAGCTGATCACACCGTTTTTCATTCTTAATATACACATTTATCCGAGCTTGTTACGACTTTCGGTCCTCGTTCATCTCAGCCCTAGCCTCCGGGTTATGACTCGGTAGGAAACACTCGCAACCTGACTACTTATTTCAAGTGCTAAGATGAGCGAAATCCGTGGCCCTCAACAAGCTCGCAAAGATGGGTTGTGCTATATCGTGTAAATGGAAAATGAAAACCGATCTGATCAGCTGCCCGGTGAGGTTCTGGGTTCGATGCCCAGTTTGGTAGATGGAATCGCGCACTACTGATGAGACCTAACTTGGTCGACATGGCCATACGGTGCTTCNGGTGCTTCGCAGATTTTCAGTTTACGCTTCATTTGCTTTATACATGACGAATTCACCTTTGCAATTCTCATTTACCGTTTTCTTTTCTTCTGTTTTCATTTTACTTCCTTTTAATGAATATACAAAGATACAATCTTCGGGAAAGCGGANGACCAGTCAAGGGGCTGCCATTCAACACACAAATGGAGAAGTCAGATGGTGGTGGGATTCGAACACATCCCCGGGATCAAAATTTGTTCACGTTACCACCGGGCCATCACCGTATTATGGGTTTGGTAGCGATCAGTTTGCTTCAGTGTATTTTGCTGTACAATGATGATGATGCTAAATATAATATCTAGCAGAAATGAATTACTCGGTCATGCTGAGCCAGGAATCCCGGAACAACACAAACAACACCAGGCCTCTCCAAATCGCCAAGGCTCGAGTCATTAAAAAACTATCAGCCCCTCAGTATGGTCGGGGGTGGGTGTGTAAGATTGCGACTGATCACCCTTCCCTCGCACCTGGCGAAATGCTCCCATACGACCGAGCGTCTCAAATAGACTCTGCTGAGGAAGTCCTACTCAATGTCTTCTTGTTGGGCGGAGGTATTTTCCCACCAAAGTGAAAGGACGAAAAGCCGACATCTGGGGCTATAACTGGGTCGGTAAACCACCGGCAGTTCACCTAGGGGAGTTGGCCAAAATCTGATTCCAAACCAATCGCCCCGGTACCTTGCGGGTCAGGCTTTGACTAGCCGAAGGCTCCAGTTGTGGATTCCTCAAGCAAATTCACCTGTCTTGGTACGGGCAACCTGGAAGTATTCGGCTCACATGCAAATCATGGAACGCGTGAATGGTTCACAATGTAGTCTGGTAACGAACGCTTCTGGAGAGTAAAACTGATCCCATTATCGATCATTTGAACCACGTTAGACACGTGTATGGATGAAACGAGTTGATTAAGGATAGATTGTGCAAAAAAACCGGTGTTTTTGGTTTCCCCAATTTCAACCGGACTTACCCGAGGATCGCACATTTGTGCACAGTAAGCATAGATCGCTCGGGCTCGATCGATTTCACCCAATTTGCGTTCGAGATCGGCAAATCGTAGACACATTTGACGTGCGTGTTTCTCGGGTAGACGTTCGATAGCTTGCTCATAGGCCGGTCGTGTGTGAGTGACACCGTGTAGATCTGCGATTCGCTGAATGTAGATATTGAACATCTGTGGATCAGAAGAAATGATGGGGTGGGGGCAGACAGAGGTAGTCTAGTGAGTGAAAAGGAAGAGAGAGAAATAGTTGCACACTGGAACAAAATAATGCGTCATTCGTGGATTTCTGAGATGTGGCTCTTTCTGAGAACCCTTAGACTGAAAATAGTTTTTAAAACATTGGAAAACCTTATTCCCTATTGGGTGACCTATCAACCATGCCTGCATTCAAAAGTCTCAGAAGGGTCTGCGGTGGGTGTCTCTGAGTGCGGCTGGTCACCCCCCCTCACCTCCTTGCATCAAGCGTAATGCTCCCATAAAACGTAACTTAGCAACTAGTCTCTGCTGAAGAAACCCTACTCACTGCCTTTCCGTGATGGAGGTGCTTTCACCCAGCTAAATGAGAGGACGAAAAGCCGAAATCGGGTAGGGAACCACCGGCAGTTCACCTAGGCAAGTTGGCAAAATCCGTTATTCCAAATCAACCAAAAAGAGGTGTACGAATCCACACGTTGATTGGGTAACGAGGTCAACTGGGCGCCTCGTGTTTGACTCCGTGTAAAGAGCGTATGATATAATAAAATGGACGCCTGTCCGCTTGCCTTGCCAATCAAAGTTTGGCCGCTTGATGGCTCCAGTTATAAATTTCCCCCAAGAAAATTCACTCCGGCTTTGACTGCAACGATCTACCGCATTCTTTCACTCCGCTGTCCATCACACTGCGATGTGCAATGAAAAACCGGCGATATAATAGACAAATAGACCCCCGCCGCCTGTTCAACGTTCAACCGTTTCGTTTGAGACAAGAATCTCAGGTACTACGAATGAAAGACAGAGAGAATTCAGATACCATTATCACAAATGTGATCCGACAGCTCCTCTTTTCCCACCGTATTAGTGCACCTCCCGAGGCAATCGATAAATAGATTTTCAGTTTTATTGTCCGTCACTAAGGAAACAGAAGTTTGGATCTCTGGCAGAAGTCCAACGCGTTTACTAACAACCGGAGAAGAGCATAGACTAAGACGACAAGGGACGTGGATTTTATCAGCGCCTCACAGCTGGGGGCGATACGAATGGACCAATCTCAGCCTGTCCTTCACAACCAGTTCTGTTTGGAAATGGTGACTTAAAACATTGGGCTACGGCAACTTGAAAAGGGAGGGGGGTCGTCCTTTTCTGACCGGCAGTCAAGCACACACACTCAACCAATTAGTCAAATGAAGTATGTGCTTTGTGCACCTCGTAAAGTGAACATTCAACAGTCACATAGTCAAGTAAAATTACCCCAGAGTTGTTCAAAGCAAGGACAACACAAAACAATTTACGATATGAATGAGTTTAGTTCAGAAGCGAGGCGTTCAGAGTTAGTAAGAAATCGGGCAAGATAAGGGATCACAGAACATCGGTTGTGCGAGCAAAAACACAGTTTCAGTGGGACCGGGTGGAAAAAGAGGACGGAGAGTTTGAGATATGCGTAAAACGGATGCGACCGGTTGTTATTATTACGTTGGATAACGAATAACACGACTTTGTATGTTGTGAAACGATGAAGCGACAAAAGATTTCACGGTAAAACCCACTACTTCTGGATAAATGTGCTAAGGATATGGAAAGCAATACGAAATCCTTTTTGGGCATCCCTGGGAAGATGACCCGTACAACCATAAGGACAAAATAGAAACAAAAAGGAAACGGCCAATCAAGAAGCTTTCAGGTGTAGCTTAGTTTATAAAATGATAATTTTCTAACCTCTTCAATTACAGAAATTAATTGGTCAGATCAGAATAAATTTGGACTGATTAACACACCGAGATATCTAACACCTAGAGGTTAGATGAGGGCACAACCAACATGATTTACCTCGAATCGTTCATCCGGAAGCACAGCCTCCGTGGCCCGTTCGTAAATGCGAATTGCTCGGCGAGCAAGTCCATGCTGTTCTTCCAAACGCGCATAAAGCAGGTACAGTGCTGGGGACAGAAACAGTACAGAATGCGTGACAAAAGTGTATACACCCACACACAAACAAATACAAACAGTATCTTAGTTAGCAATCGGTCATCTATCCAGGTGGTGTGGCAGAGGTTTAGTCGATGTCACCAGCGTGCTTTGGACCCTATGATTCGAGTCCCACTACTGCCACCCGACTTTGATGGTAAGCAGCTTTGCTGTCATCCGGTTCAGTATCACGCCTAACCTGATGAGGCCTTACGTGGTTCGCCCCGTCAAGTCCCGTAAGGCTTAGGTTACCGGTTTCCATCACTGAACAGCAGGTCCTCGCAACTATCGGGTTCACCCCGACTGCTATTAATCCCATTTAGGTGTGTAATAAAAAAAATGTACAATTTGTCTTTCGTTCATATTTTGATTGTGAGTAGTACACGGCCAGAAATGCGATTTTGTTTCAGACGTTCACTCACCTTTAGCGAACTTTGCCGGACATTTTTCCAAGCATTGTTCAAACAAATCCCGTGCACGTTCCAATTTGGTTCCGCCCTGAGCAAATGTTCAAAAAAGAAAACCGAGAAAACGAGTCGATAAAACAGTGGCAGATAGAGAAAAAAAACCACAA